TATATATTAAATTAATGCCACTTTTCGTTGTAATTTTATAACTCAAGAACGAGCTCACCTATCCAAACCAAATGTTTAGACTTTGTTCGGACTATTTAGTAGATTTAGTACAAAATCGGTCGAGCGGTTCTTCATTTATCACATTTTTAATTATATTTTATATTATTATATTAAATATATTATTAACAAATGAATTCAATAAATGGCGAATCAAGTTTTAATGGGAATTTTTTATGTCAATTTTTTTTATTATTTTATATATATATATATATATATATATATATATATATATATATATATATATATATATATATATATATATATATATATATATATATATATATATATATATATATATATACAAAAAAATCAGAAATCTTAAATTATACATAGATAACGATGATTTTTTATCTATTAAATTTCATTGGATACTCGTATTTGAACATTCTGAATACTTTTTCCAATTCTTACATTTACGTTTGTATATTTGAAGTTTCACAAAAATTTGACTTCAATCATCAAGATTATGTAGGTATATATAGTATTATTTTTACATAATTGTGACAAAATTCAAAGTGATAACCTCCTCATTTTATAAATTTGTTGAAAAATAATCGTCTGAAATATGTCTAGACATAAAAAGTAATCTTTGTTTAAGACCGAGACAGACATAATAGAGCATAAAAAACTAATAGGTACGGAGTACAATATACTTAATTTATCTGAAGTAAACATATTTACTATAATTCAAACATACTACCAAATAACAAAAATAGACTGAATGCTTGTTGACATTAACTTTTATCAACACTGTCTTTGTGTCGACAGTATAAAAAATGATTACAGCCATAACATTATGATAACATTTCAAGCTTACATCTTATCGTCTAGATTATACCCATTTTATTTTTACAAAAGGAGACGTACAAAAGTCGATTGCTAGGGTACCTCTGTCGCATTCGTGTTTCAACCGTAAAGCAGTTGTGTCTGCATGGCTGTGTTTCGGTTTGAAGGGTGGGATATGGCGTGAATTTACTGGGTACAGAGGAATAACACCTAAGTCCTCAGGAATGGCAACGCATGGGGGGTATCATGGGCGAAACAGTAAACTCTGTTATGTCCATGGTACTGCTCATATCTATAGGCGACGGTTACCACTTTCCATCAGCTTGTTTCCTATTCTAAGTTGTATAAAAAATAAACTCGTATATGCTTTTAAACTCTTGATGGAATATTGAGTATAAAAAAGCGGTCAAGTCAATAGTTTTTATATCACGTATAAATGTAACAATTTTAGATGTATCTATTAAATAAATGATAATAATGCCTATCAGATAGATTCCGAATTATTTGAAGAAGGAGTCAAGAGTCTCTGGAAAGTAAGTGCAAGTCTGAGTGAGTTATGAAACAAGATAAAGCACGAGATATATGCGACGATTAAGGTCTTTTACACTTTTTCCCTTTCAATAAAGAACGAGGCGTGAGAATAATTAGATAAATTGTAATTATTTTTAGATGTTTAAGTGACTTTTATAAAGATTAGATTCTAAATTCGCTTCTAATGTTTTTTTTTGTGTATTTTCTTCAATATCTTGTGATATCTTTACTAATTCTGAAGGGACATGAGCAGTGCCATGCACATAACAGAGTATACTGTTTCGTCCATGATACCCTCCATGCGTTGCCATTACTAAGGACTCAGTTGTTATTCCTTTGTACCCTGTAAATTCACTGTCACATCGCACCCTTCAAACTGAAACACAGCCATGCAAACACGACTGCTTCACGGTAGAAACACGAATGGGATAAAGATGCTCAAGCAAACGACTTTCTTACAAAATCCTCCTCTGGTATATTATAGTATTTGTTTTTTTTTTTAAAGGAATTAATTACTTGTTTATTAAGAATTACTAATTTGTCGTTATCGACCGGACTATTAATTTCTATTTATAAGTTCCCAGTAAGCCAATGGCAAAACCCATCAGATGTCCTGCTTGTTTATATCTCTGTATTCATATGTTTGGCGTCGATGTGATTTTCCGATTCATTGAACAATTATAAAAGTGATGATGTACCCAGCGCCATATTTTAATAATTGTCATCGGGGAAAATTGTTTTTTTATTTATTTATATTTTGTTGTACACAAAAATTATTTTGTTATAATTTATTTTAAATAAAGATGTACAACAGGTACAGAGGTTAACTCTGTAGGTGTTCTCTTCCAGAAAATTGTATTCCATTTATTTGTTCGTTTGTTTGTTTGTTTTTTTTTTATTCAACTTAGAATGCCAAACAAGCTGACGGCCCACCTGATGGAAAGTGGTTACCGTCGCCTATAGACATGAGCAGTACCATGGACATAACAAAGTATACTGTTTCGCCCATGATACCCCCCATGCGTTGCCATTCCTGAGGACTCAGATGTTATTCCTCTGTACCCAGTAAATTCAATTGTTTGTTTATACTTTTATACACGCAAAGATTGCATTGTTAATAACTATTCTTAATAAAGATGTATTGTAATAAAGGATTATGCTCTTGAAAAAAGCTATTAAATCAGGACTAACACGGGTGTATTGCGAAAGAATCATCAAAATCGGTTAAGTATCCTCGAAGATATCGCGTAACATGTACACAAAAAAAAATGCCAACGTAATGAGAAACCTTTCCCCCTCTTTTCTGAAGTCATTTAAAAAATGATGTCACTAGAAATTCCCATACTCCTATTAGGAATGTTTTTCCCTATTACTAATATGAGACAATACGTAACCGACGCAGAATGATTGAATTTATTCAATTCTCAATTGTTTAAAGAAACAAGTCTTTGTTTATTTTATCATTTACTAGCTTTTATTTAATTTTTTTCCAATCACATTAAGGGGGGTAAAGAAGTTTCTTCAGGGTCGGCAATGCGCGGGTAATACCTCTGGTATTGCAGGTGTTCATAGGCTACGGTAACCGCTTACTATCAGGTGGGCCGTATGCTGGTTTGCCACCTCATTGGTATAAAAAAAATGTCTGCTACAAAAGGATGTTAAATAACATCATCTCTCCCAGTCAACCTCTGGTAAAACGGAAATGTAATTATGCGGTGAAAAAATTGAAAATTTTACATAGATAGTTAATCTTTATTACCAGTAATACAACTAAAATAAAAATCAACAATAAAAAGAAAAAAAAAAACAATTTTGCTGGTAATAGGAGCCGCCTCAGCTGTTGCTATATATGTACAACTCCAGCGAGAAGTAAAAAAGTTCCGAAAAAGTACCTATATAGCTCGAAAATCAGCGCTATGTAGGTACTTTTTCGGAACTTTTTTTAATCGGAACGAAATATTTTCTGATTGGTTCCATAGCAATTTTAATTTAGTTTTTAATCAACATTATCACAATTGAAGTAGGTTTTTTTTTGTAGAATACAGACCTATTTTAAATCGGTTGACAAACGTAACCCTACTAGTAAAACGATGTAACTAACTAACTACAGTTACTATCACACAGTAATTTTATTATAAGACATAGTCAATGAAAATTATAGGTTAATTACTGACGTACTTGAGACAAGTTACTACGCAGATATAAACGAACAAAAGAACAAAGATATATATATATATAAGTAGTTAGAATGCATTTTCCATAAGTGCTTGGCTAACCTTGGGTTTAATATCTACTTAAGTACCTCCAGTCTTTGTTGCATATTCGGGTAATTCCAAATTAAAATTATATTCATCTCATTGAATTAAATTACCGTGTTTCGATACATGACACCATACGATGAGACATCTACATCGCAAATCCGGCCCCACATGGAGTATTGCTGTCACTTATGAACGGGAGTACCTAGACACCAGCTTGAACCCTTCGACACAGTACAACGACGAGCTATGAGAATTGTCGATGATCCCAGGCTTGCAAGCGGTATCGAAACTTTAAGTCTTAGGAGAGATTTTGCCCCACTCTGCGTGTTTTACCGCTTGCACAACGGATTGTGCTCAGAGGAATTGTTCAATATGATGCCCACGGCTACTTCCTACCATCGTACGGCTTGCCATCGACAGGGAGTTCACTCTTATACCTTAGAATCTAGATGGTCGCGTACAACGCGGTTTAGAGATGTTTTCTCCCAAGAACGCTCAGGTTATGAAAGAGCTCTCTGTCAAAGTTTTTCAAAAGACTCCAGCTTGGGGTTCTTCAAAACAAGGGGTAAAGAGGTTTCTTCAAGGTCGGCAACGCGTGTATTATACCGGTACGGTAGCCGCTTACCACGTATACTTGTTTGCCACCTCAATGGCTTAAAAAATCCCCAAATTTAAAACGCAAGTAAAGCCGACATAAATAATTACACTACAGTATGACTCACAATACTTATTGTTCAATAGAAAAGGATAATTAGCAATAGATTTTGACGATGCTATAGCTAGCAATATATCTTATTAGATCGACCTCCACGCGGTCGTTGCTAGAAATTATCATGTTACGAGAGACCTAGTTGGTGTAGATTTCGCCAGTATATACTAATAAACAGGGTAACAATTCCATTTTCATCCCCTAAACAGTAGTCAGGGTGGAATCCAATTTCAAAATGGAAACCATTAACGTTCTTCTTGAATATTTTACTCAAAGAAAAACGAGATAAAAAACGTCATAAAGAGCATATAACAAAAATAAAAAAAAAAATTTTTGAATTATTTTGTACATATTAAGATATATTTCCTCACTCATATAATTTTATTTTTTAATATAAATGACAAATTTATGTTAAAATAATTAATCTAATTACAATTTTATTATTAAATTATGTATTTATTTATTTACGCACGTATTATAGTAGAAGTGTTTGCTCTAAAAAGACTCCAACCGCAAAAGATTATATTTACAAAATAATCATTTTAATAGTGACAAAATTATTACGGGTCCAACATGTAAAAAGGACCATCGAAATCGGTTCTCAATTTGGGAAATTAAAATACAATCTAATAGTAAGTATAATTTCAACATACCTTCTATTTCAACATTCTTTCCGCTAGAAGAGTCTGACGAGTCGTCTTCTATCTTATTCTCCGAGACAATTGTGAGACTGTTCTCCCCACATACATTATTGTGGGATCTCTTGTCCGTCACCGAGTGAAACTGTGGACAATGAAAGAAATAATGTTAAAAAATATAATCAAAGTAATAGATTTTGTATAACAACCAAAAAAATACAGAAATCGGTCGTGGTAAAACTAGAAACCTGCATTAAGCATAAGTACAACTATGAAACAGTTATTTTAATTTAAAAACAGTACTGCTTCTGGACCGATTTTGATAAAACTTCTATAATACGAATATGAAATTTTCGTGAAATTATATGCATTTTTTTATTTATTTTGAATTTTTTTGTGTGTTTTATGTCATCAGCCGCTTCTTATAACATCGTACGTATCGTCAAGAAAAGATTTGGTGAAGCATTGCATTCTCATATTACGCGAAAATGGAGAAAAAGGAAAAGAAAGCTCTACTCCTAGTGCATAAGATCTACTCGTATATTGTTACAACATTACCAGAGGAAAATTTTGTACAAAAATTGCTTATTAGGGCACCTCTGTACCATTCAAGTTTCTACCGTGAAGCAGTTGTGTTTGCATGGCTGTGTTTCGGTTTGAATTAATCGTAATATATATAAATTAGTATGGGCTTTATGAACACAATACAATCCAAAACAATGATTTTTAGAATTTTTGTCTCTTTGTCTGTATGTTTGTGCACGCTAATCTCAGAAAGGGGTTAACTGATTTAAATGCGGTTTTCACTAACGCATTGCGGTTTATTCCACTTAACATTTAGTATTTGTTTTATTTCAATAGAGTTATAAATAAACAAGTTATATCAATATAAATAATCACATATAAAATGCTATAAAATAACCAATCAGTTGAATTGGTTGAAACTTTATGAAGGTTTTAGGTATGTAATTATCATTTAAGTATATAATACAATATAAGACCGGATTCATGAAGTGTTCCAATGGGAATGACATACGGGAAGTACATAGTTAGAAGCGGGCAACGACGCGGGAAACGGCTAGTAATATAATATGCTTATTGTCTTGAAACGTTATATTATATATGTACGTTGTACATTGAAATTTTCCAAGGTAAGTTTTTACAATGTTTTCTCGGAAAAATCTAATGATCGGTTTACGTCACTATTCTAGTATTAATATTTGTTAGTATTCGAGTGTTAGTAATTTTCTTTAACATCACTATTATAGAGGTGCCACTAGGCAAACTGTTCGTAAGGAAATAATGATGTAAACGAATAATTTGCTCTTGCGATATGATTTCTCGTTGGAAAATGTTTTGTTGTTAATTCCTATCGTAACACTAAGTTACTATTGAGAAACGCCACAATAGATCTGTAATAGCTTACGAAATGTATACTTTGAAGGAGGATTTTAAATCATTTTGTACAATAAATAAATAAATCAGTTAATGATTTTTTTTTATACAACTTAGAATGCAAGCAAATAAGCTGACGGCCCACCTGATGGAAAGTGGTAACCGTCGCCTATAGACATGATAGCAGTGCCATGGACATAACAGAGTATACTGTTTCGCCCATGATACACACCCCATGCGTTGCCATTCCTGTAGGCTCAGGTGTTATTCCTCTGTACTCTGTAAATTCACTGCCATATACCACCTTTCAAATCGAAACACAACCATCCAAATACAACTGCTTCATGGTAGAAACACAAATGGGACAGACGTGCCCAAGCAAACGACTTTTGTACAAAATCTCCCTCTGATATTTACTATATTTATTTAAATAACTTTATTGGTCAAAATAAATATGGTGCTAAAGGCGGACTTAATGCTAGTAGCATTCTCTACCAGTCAACCTTTGGGATAAACAGTTTACCACGAACGTAATACTTCATGCATTAATAAAATAAAAATATAAATAATTATTTAACAATTCAATTGAATTATGGGTCTGATGTCACTGGAAATTGTCGAGTTACCTCATAATGAATAATTAAAATAATGTTATTACTATGCATAATATGATTAATATACTTTATAATCATCATGCCAGCCTTTAACTGTCCACTGCTGGACATAAGCCTTCCCCATAAAGGGAGTTTTGCCAGTAGTTACTATGCTTGGCAGGCGGGTTGGCAACTGCAGTTAGGCTTTTAGAGATATTTTAAGAGGGACGCTGCTGCCCACCCTTCGCTCTTTTTTAGTCGTCTCTCACGACATTCACAGGAAAAGAATAATATATCTTTATCGCACTTGAATAATAGATGCAGCAGTTTAACAACTTGTTAGCAAGGGAGGGCATATTTCTAAAAGAGATCTCTTCCAGCCAACCCAGTGCAGTTAGAGAGAAAAAAAAATTAATTGGCGAGTAATCTAGTGCAGGAAAGGTGCAGGTAAAGATAATGTAAATAAATAAATGAATAATTTTTAAATTTAATTAAGTAGTTTTCGAGTTTATGATAAACAAACTGGCCAGTAAAATGTTAAATGATCCGATTTATTTCTGAATCAATAAAAAAGAAAATATATTAGTGTAATTTAAAAATTTAATACTAGTGATGTGACTCGGCTACGCACACAACCCATATTGTTGTGATATTAGCTTTCTATACATTTTTATGATCAATTATTTTTTTTTATATATCCATTAAAAATTAATTGATAAACAAACACTCATCTCTTTCCTTTTAATAAAATTATTATAGATGGTATATTTAAAATATATTTTTGTATTCTTAGAATGCTATTTAAATTTTAATATACATAAAAGATGTTAAACTTTGACAAGGTCATGTTTCATATAGTTTTGTAAAAGTGTTGCTTATTCGAATGGCGTAATCGTACATAGGTTATCGAATATTTGTCGTCATCCATTTTGCTTCCTACTTCTTAGTTATATATATTTATGTCAACTTTGTTTTGTCTAATGCATTATACAATGTAATTATTAATAATTGATTGTACTTCTTCTGAGTTTTGCGTAAAATTGATAAATATAAAATGTAAATAAAAATAAATTGGTCAATATATGTATATAAATAAGTCTGATAGTAATTATTTTTTTTTGTTATTTTTATAATTGTCAGAACAAGGTTTTTATGAATGGAAATGTTTGAAAAATAATATGGAAAAGTGTAAAATTTTTGTTGAAAAATGTTCATATAAAAAGTGAGTGGGTGAGAGGATAGATTTGGTCCTATTTTCTTCAGCAGAGCGAAGTCGGGGCGGACAGCTAGTTATATATAATATTATATATATATATATATATATATATATATATATATATATATATATATATATATATATATATATATATATATATATATATATATATATATATATATATAATATATATATATATATATATATATATATATGTACATAAATTTATTATGTTTACTTGAATAAATTATTTATTATATAGTATATATTATATCATAATTATTATTCATCTAAATATGTATATATCTAAATATAAAAGTATATAAATATATAATTTATTTATTGAATTTTATGAAACAACTAAGAGTATTTTATTATATAATTAAATAATAATTTATTATAGATATAATTTAAAAAATAATGTTCCAATTCGATTTATAAATGACGGAGTTATAAAGTAACAAATAAATAAACACAATCGATTTGAGAACCTTCTCCCTTTTTGAAGGCGGTTAAAAATAGGTATATCTTAAGCGTATTGCATAATTGAATACGTTCGTGTTTGTTATAAACAGGTTATTAACCTATGTGGAAACATAAATACAACCTTATCAAGTGTTTTAATGATTTGAATCAGGGCTGTCCAAACCAGAAAGCATCTAGGGCCGTTAAAAATGACTAAATTCATTGCGGGGCCGCAAAACATTTGTAAAAACAAAATGCAGGTATAATATCATTATTTTGTTATTGTATTACTTTTTCATTAATTTATCTTTTATAATTCTGTCAACATCATTATTGGTAGTAGCTAGAAAAGATTTGGCGGGCCGCATCAATTCAAGTCGCGGGCCGTATGTGGCTCGCGGGCCATGGTTTGGACAGCTCTGGTTTGAATTATCATTTGATCAGTCCATTCGTGTCTATATTAATCTGTCATTTACACGACCTTGTAGTATTAATATTATAAACAAACTTAAAGAAATTAATTAATTAATTAAGTTTAAACACGCATAATAAATTGATTTTAACTTATAAATGAATGTATAACTAGGTTGTCTACGTTAATAATGAGTTCTATTAGCCCCATTGCTAGCAATATGGGGTATAACAGGTCGACCTCCACGCGGTCCCCCCTGGAGACCATCACGTTTAATTCTCGTTGAATTCTTCACGATGCATGGGCCAACTGAATTGCTTTCATCCTCAACAATCATCTATCACTGGTGCCCCGTCAGTGTACACCGATAGTGCAGGAGGGGTTACCATTTCATTTTCACCCATTAAAAAACCACGGCAAGTGAATAATATATGCCAATATACAGATATTGACATATATTACCCAACCCTATATATACACTTACGGATACCCCTATAGATATTGTACCTGCGATATACAGATTTTGCAGGTACAATATCTTTTATATTTTTAATTCTTTGGATTATTGAAACGGTTTTTAATTTTATCTATGTCTAGTATTTTATATTTTTCGTCTGAATTTATTTTTAAATATTATATTTTTTTTTGTTTTTAATGGATACATTAAAGAAAATACTTAATTGGTCATAAAAATGTATAGAAAGCTAATATCACAACAATATAGGTTGTGTGCGTAACCGAGTCACATCACTAGTATAAAATTTTTAAATTACACTAATATATTTTCTTTTTTATTGATTCAGAAATAAATCGGATCATTTGACGTTTTACTGGCCAGTGCCAGCAGTGTTAAAAAAAAATAAAAAAAAAGTAATTCATATAAATGAAATTGCTCTAACTTTTTTTACGCGACACACTTCAACAAAAGAGCTTTGTAAGAAACCTCGTTCACTGAAAAGGTTTTATTACTTCTGGACTATCTATAGTTAGATTGTATTATTTATGATACCGAATTCATGTTGCCATTTTATAGACAAATAAAATTATTTCTTTTAACCCTTCTT